AAAGAAAGAACTAGGAACCTAATATGGATCTTGGATGATCATAAGAGCTCTAATTCACCATGAGTCATCAAGTAAGAACTATGGCCATCCAAATCATTGAAGTCTCGCTTATGATGGTCATGTCAATGAAAATTTATGTGGTGATCTATCTACCTTGGTGGTGGTATGTTTTTTTTGACATAATTTCAATTGTTGTAAATTTGTTATGCCTTGACCAAGATATAGGATGAACTTCTCTAGACTCTTAAACCGATTCAAGTGCACTTCACAAGTAATTCGAGTATTTGATGCACATATTAAGGGGGAGCCCATTCTATGTCTTGTGTCTTTGAGACTAACTTTTTCTTCTAGTGAATTTGTGTAGTCTCTTGGTGAGAATGAGTTTCTCATGGATATGCTACATTGACTCAATCCAAATTGGTAAAGTTATCTCTCATATTTATTTGGATTGCATTTTTATCTCTTAAGTAGCTACTCTCCATAATATAGCTTAAATTCCCTTGTTTGGACTTAATTGATCAAAAGTGCATATGTTCTTGCCTTCCACATATATATATATGTATGTACTATCAAAAAGGGGAATTTAATCTATGTTATGAGGTTTTGCAATTAGTGATCCACTTACCTTCCACATCCAAAATGATCACTAGTTGTGAAACTCTAGCTTGTGCAATTTAATGCTATTTCTTGTCTTTATGAGCATTCCCTAGGTGACATTATGAGACAAGAATCCATTCCAATTGGCATCAACTTATGAAGACTCTTTCAATTGGTGTCAAAATTGTGAAGATCATATTTCAATTGGTATTGGTGGATAATCTCTTAATTTGGTATATCAAGAAATATGTCTTCAATTGGTATCTCAAAATGGCAACAAGAGCTTGCAATGGACTTTCAATTGAAATCAAGCACAAGTTTGTGATATCTCCTATGATCAAGAGAGATGGGCACAAATGAAGTCTTTTTACATTGTGCCAAGCCCATCAAAGCACTAAATTCAAAATTTCATGATCACAGTGGAGATTATGAGTCTTAGAACAAAGGTATATTGCTCCATGAACTCTTGTACTACCTTTGTGCATCTAGGCCCTTACATGCTAATGTGTGCATGTGTATGTAATATTTTGAGTCACACCATGAGTTTGTTCTTGTGGTGACGATTAGAGAATTCTTTAGATATTTGGTTGATATCTCTTGTGGTGATGGCATGAGTTAGTCTCATGTTAAAAGCGTCATATAAGTGAGGAATGAGCCAAATATGCTAACTTCTCAATAATCTTGACTTAAAGTGTTGCGTACTTTATTTGGTAGAAAACTTAGGAGAGAAGTCCTATATGCTAAACTTTTACCTACCTCTTGCCCTCGCTTGTCTACCATTATTTCTTCCTTTTGGTGGAGAGATCATTTTTAGAGATTAATGCCAAAGGGGGAGAAATATTGGGAGAGAGTATAAGGGAGAATGGATTGATATGTGGATTTAAAGGGGTAAAAGGGAGGCATATAAGATTTTTCAATTTTTTATTATGTAGTATATGCAAGGATAGTTTAAATTGATGCTCTGGATAAGGACCGTTTATGCTAGTGTGATGTTCATGTCTTAAATGGTGTATTGTTTATTTCCTCTGACTGCCACTGTGCGGCAGTGCCACGTGCACTCGTGGAAGTGCTGCACATGATAGCTTCAGAAACTTTTTGAGTGCATGAACTACCATAAGCATCACGTTTATCATAATGACATCTTGCAACCCACAGATGCTAAGATATAGGAGAGTTTCCACACTTCATCTTGAATATGTGTATTTGGCATTTGAGGCCAATATTTGAAATTCCATTCTATGCACACATTTAGGGGGAACTCACTATATCATAGGATTCAAAATCTTATTATTTATCAATCTCTTGTAAGCTTTAATTGTGTTGTCATCAATCACTAAAAAGGAGGAGATTGTAAGTGCATGTAGCCCTTTAGTGGTTTTGGTGAATTGAATGATAACACCATTAAAGGTCTAACAAGTTTGCTAAGTGTTGAACAGGAAATTGAGTTTATTGCATACACTTGTGAATTGTGAAATGAGAAGTATACATAGGTTCAATAGAAAGGCAAACTTGATGATATTCCATATAGTGTTGAAATGAAGGCCAAATTGTATATCGTTGTATTGAAAGATTATGAAAACAATCTAGTTCAAGTAAAAGACAACAATACAAATGGAATCAATGAAATAGCTCTTATGTTGTGGGATATCATATCATCATGTGAGAGCAAGCATATTTAGCAAATGGCAAATAAGACACGAGTTGATGATTTTGGATTGGTCTCTATAATGGCTTCCTTTGCATGAACAAGAAGAGTTGGATAGTGGACTAGCTTTGATCAAGGATAAAAGAATGAGTCAAGAATGCACAAGTGAAGAAATACCAAGTAAAGGTTGAATGACAAAGGATACAACTCTTATTGGATATAAGTCGGTCTCTATGTTGGTTTGCTTGTATGGATATAGATTTGGAAAATCACTTTGCATTGATTTGATCAAGCTATAAGTATGAAGATAGATATTGAAGTGAGTGTTAGGAGTGTCAAGCCAAAATAAAGAGGACATAAGGAATCGTTAATTAGCTTGACCACATTGATGTTGATCTATATATCTCAATCTATGTGAATCCAACTAAAGCTTGATTGATCTTAATATTTATATCTAGAAGATATTCAAGTAAGGATCATAATATTAAAGAAATGATTTTTCAATGGATGCTTAATATGATGTGGCTTGAGTATGGCTCGATAGGGTGAAGATAGCAAGGAAAGGACTTCGAGGAACTAAGCGAAGGTGAAGGGCAAGCGATGGCTTGAGAACCGAGGTACCATGGCTAAGGTGAAGAAGAGAGTACTTGCATTGAGTCGAGGAACTAATTGGGCTACGAGGAGTCATATTGTGTTGAGGATCAAATCATTAGTGGAAGTAACTTGAATCCATGGATTGAGCTCACATGTGTTGAAATGGTTCAAGTCACATGCTCAAGGTATAATGGGAATGAGGACAATACATTTGATGGTGGAGCCCCCAATTATAAAAGGATGCGGTGATAAACTCAAAGGTGTTTAAATTTCTTGATATTTTGAATTTGAGTTTAGAAAAAATCATATTATAAAGGGGGATACAATGCATAAGCTTTAATGTGCAACCAAGTGCTCATTTACCCACCAAATATCCTTAAAGCCTTAGCCATAACAACAAGCTTTGCAATCCTATCTTTTGCGCTACCTGGCAGGTGAGGCACTGTCGCGCTGAGGCGAGGCACTACCGCACTAAGGCACTATTGTAGTTCAGGCGAGGCACTGCCGCAGTTCAGCCGTGGGACTGCCACGACTTAATTGACCGTTGGGAGCAGGGGATATTTATACCTTCTCTTCTTTCTCACAACGATAACCTAGTTTTCAGATCGACCATTCCCTTCCCAAGTGCGACCAGAGCAGCTCTCTCTTCCCTACTCACCATTAGAACTCCTCAAGCTTCTTCTTTGCTTCCCTTGCAAATCGTGAGAGTTTGCCCCCTCCAAACTGCATTAGACAGCTCACTAATATGTTCTTCAACTCTTAGAGCACTTGGTTCGCGTTTAAGCCGGTGGATCGTATTTGTTACTCTTGGAGCTTACTCCTAGCCGGCTAGAGCATCGCCCGTAGAGCTTGTCAACTTGTGTGCCAGTCCCGAGAGGTTTGTAATCACCCTAATTATCTAGTGAAATCATCCTTCATCTCAAGAGTTCATTCTCTTGACTTGAGAACGAGGATAAGGTTGAAAGAGACTAAAGCCATAGTGGCTTCCTCAACAACGTGGACATAGGCAAGCTTTGGTGATGAGCTGAACCATGAAATAAATCGGTGTCTCACTTGTGTTCTTATGATTTGCATTGCTATACATGTATTTATGGTGATTCTAGGGTTTGGTCCCGATCTACTTGCTCGTGCACTTCCGCCAACATTCAGGTGGTGGAATAGGCTCTACGCTATCCTAGGATCATCAGTAATTTGCTCGACCTACTTTTTCTTGGGTAGTTTTTGAATTATAGTTCGAGCTTTGTCTGTAGTCGCAGCAGTGCTACATTTTTAGTGCGGCTGTGCAGCAGTGCCGCACTTAGAATTTAACTTCCGCTGTAAGTTTGTTTTAAACATGCCTATTCACCCCTCCTCTATGCGACATCAAGGTCCTTTCACCTAGCCTTTGTTGATGGGTTGTGTTCATGTACCAAAATTACATGGGGTCCTAAGGATTATTGGGCCATGACTAGGCCCTAGTGGCCTGGGCTGCAGATCTGTCCCTGAGTTGGAGCACTTGATTCACCATTTTTGGTCACCATCATCACTATGAGTGCCATCTAGCTCCATTACTTGGACTTGGACCAACTAATCTCAAATACACACTTAAAGCATAGGGTTAGTCCATTAGATTTTATCAATTAGCCAAAATCAAATTAGGGCTTTCAGTGGCACCCCCACCGCCTTGCCCCATCGCTGATCTCGCCCACCTCCACCCTAAAATCCGCCTTCTAAGGCCGTCAGAGATGAAAACCCTAACCCGCTGAAACCATAGCCACTACCGCTTCTTTTTCCTCTCCGGTGGGGTGCGAGCGTAAGCGCGGGTGGTCGTGGAGCGGAGAGGGAGAGGGAGACACAGAGAGAAAGAGCGCAGAAGGGAAAGAGAAAGTGGATCACACCATCACACTAAAACGTTACGCTCACGTAATACATTCTGTATGCTTAAAACAGCCTCCCAAGAGAAAAAGCCACGCAACTTTGCGAGTCACGATCTCACGGAATAGTCGTGACCCACCCCGTAACGGACTGACTTCCAGGTTGACGCAGCTCAAGACTCAAGTACAGTAGACGCCAAGTCAGTCACACTCACACACCACAGCCTCCCCTTTCCGATCCCACCCTCTCCACTCTCCAGCCTCCGCCCTCCGCTCGCCGCGCTTCCGCTTCCTCCGCCACCACCGCCGGGATGGCTGGGCGCTGCCCCTACTTCGCCATGGAGGAGTCCTCCCGCGGCATCCGCTCGGGGGAGTCCCCGGCCGCGGCGCTCCGCCGGATCCTCTCGACGCCCGGCGCGCACCAGGCGCCCTGCTGCTACGACGCGCTCGGCGCGCGGCTCGTCGAGCGCGCGGGGTTCCCGATCGGGTTCATGGGCGGTGCGTGCGCTTCCGTTGTTGGGTCACTCTCACGCGGGGTTTGTTATCCGTTATGCGTCCCTGTCCTCCTGTTTTTATGTGATGTCGATCGTCGTAGAACGCTCTCGATGGGGTTTAGTTTGTTTGTTTGAGAATGCCGAGATACTAATCGGTAGGCTTCAGTGCTTCACGCTGTATAGTTCCAATCGGAGCAGATTTACTGAATCCCAATTCATATCGTGTGCTTTTCCACCGATGAAGTCACATAAACTGTAGGGAGGAAGAGGAACTATCCTTAAATCTGTTGCTCGAACCAAGCAAACTCACAACTTCATCACGATGATTTAAAATTGAATTGAACTGTGTGCGTCATTGGAACTAAATTTCAACTTCATCACGATTATTTGTCTTGGGCTTGAGATGTTCTGTGGTTACTTTTCTGATTACGTACTGCAATGGTGTTTGAATGTTTCCGTGTGAAAAGGTAAAATGGTTTCATTAGAACTGTCGAATGTAGTTCAGGTGGCCAGCATTTCTTCGGGCAAATTTTAATCTGTGACAGGGGCTATTGTTCTGTTGTTTCTTATAGGGCTTAGAAATAACCTCATTCAAAATTTTGCTTGCTGTGCTTGTCCAAAAGAAACCTTCTGGAGATATTTGAGTTATCTCATACATTGGAGTCTTCTTATCTTTTCAGGTTTCTGTGTTTCTGCTGCGCGACTTGGCTTGCCTGATGTTGGCCTCATTTCCTATGGAGAAATGGTAGACCAAGGGCGTCTCATCAATGAAGCTGTTTCAATCCCAGTGATTGGTGATGGAGACAACGGTTATGGAAACTCTATGAATATCAAGAGAACCATAAAAGGGTATATCAATGCTGGTTTTGCTGGAATTATGCTTGAGGATCAGGTGCGTTGTCCAAGTCATTACAATTCATCCTTGCACAGATACCAGCTCCACTTGTATTGACGATCACTGCTCATAGTTCTGACAAATAAGACATGTTACACTACAAGCGAATTCTTCTTACGGTTAACCTTATGGTTTCTTGGTTAATTGGAATTAGTTGCCTTGTCTGCTTCTTCAACTAACAACAATTTTCTGAGTATTGTGCATACGTCCTGCAACCATGTTTCCATAAGTAATATGAATACTTGAAGACCTATTGGTGGCTAGGATTAGGACCCCTCCTTGAGGATATTATATTAAGGGTATATAACTAGCAGGTGCCATCCTTCAACTTGGAGAAAGGGTATTATCATATTAGTCACTGGACCCATTTTGTATATTATAGATCGCAGGCCAAAAAAGATTGCGTATATGCCATGAAGATATGTTTTCTGTAGTGGCTAACAGAGTAACAGGGAAAAAAGATTTGGCATTTAATACCTATATATAACTGGTGTTACCAAGAACACTAGTAAGTATTTTTTATAAGAAAAAATAAATGTGCCCTTTTTTGTGCTCATTCGAACTTCTTTGAGCTCATTTTAATATCTATTTCATATGTATATATTTCAAAATCTACTTTTTCTCACAAATAATCAACACTAGAAGGATATTCCGCGCATTGCTGCGGGGATCGCGGATGATTTGGAATGAAGGGATAAACTATTATAAATAAATTTTAGTGGATGGTGTGGTATGCTGATGTGGACAAATAAATGCATGTTAGTGGATGATGCTGCTTGCTGACATGAATAGCTTGTATGAATAGATTTATGTCAACAGGAAATCAGATGAACTGTTGATATATCCAATGAGATGAAATCAGATTGTTCTTGGTCTCGTTGGATGGATGAACTGTTGATATATCCAATGAGTACTAGACATTTTTTTTTTAAAAAGGCGGGCCTGGTGCAAGCGGTAGAGTCTTACCGCCTGTGACCGGAAGGTCCCGGGTTCGAGTCGCGGTCTCCTCGCATTGCACAGGCGAGGGTAAGGCTTGCCATTGACACCCTTCCCCCAACCCCGCACAGAGCGGGAGCTCTCTGCACTGGGTACGCCCTTTAAATATAGTCTCACTGGATACCTTCCTAATGTTGCATTAGCCTAATTGAAAAATGCAACTGCTATGTATATGCTCAAATGTTCAATCTCTTGATAAGATTATCTTTGTTGTATTCTAAAAAATGTTGCAATTGAACTTCTACTGCATTGCACTTGGTGTAATCAAAATCTAGGAGAGTTAAAGCAGAGATCATATGGCTGCAACACAATCATTATCTATTTGACTCTTTAACTAACTTAAATAGATCATGTGGTCTTTGCCATATTTAGCTGACACTGTTTGCAATAATTTGTTTTTGGATAAATACTCCCTGCTACTGCCCAACAAAAAAAGTAATGCAGTTAACTTGTTTTATTCTATGTTCACAGGATGCAATAGTACGATGCTTGCCTATTTCTTTTTACATTTTCTTACTTTGGTTATATGAAAATATGGAAAGAAGTCTTTCAGTTTCGTATTTAATCTTTTTGTTTATCCTGAAAAAAAATGACTTTCCACATTTTAAGGTGGCACCTAAAGCATGTGGACATACTGAAGGAAGGAAAGTTATATCAAGGGAGGAAGCTATCATGCACATCAAAGCTGCTGTAGATGCTAGGAAGGAGAGTGGCTCTGACATTGTTATTGTAGCAAGGTCAGATGCTCGCCAAGCTATTTCTCTCGATGAAGCATTATGGAGGGTGAAAGCATTTGCTGATGCTGGAGCAGATGCTCTGTTTATTGATGCCCTTGCTTCAGTAGAAGAGATGAAAGCATTTTGTGCGGTTGCACCAGAAGTTCCAAAGATGGTTAGTTGTATTCTTTGTTTTTGTTGCTTTTCTAATTACACGTGAATTGTGATATCCAAGGGTTATGGTAGTTTCTGCATTCATCCTGATTGTAATTCAGTATAACAGTCCTCATTTCCTGTCATGTTGGTCATACCTTTAAATCCTTCTTCCAATGAAATTGACTAGGGTATCAAAAGGACACACGTACACCAAAAAACATATTATTGTTCTCTAAATTAGAATTGATCACACTTTTCTTGTGGAAATTGTCTTACAGTTTCCTAGTGAAAATTTGTTTTTACCAGTCATCAAAGGAAGCACTTGGAAAAAAATTGTGGACCAGTTAATTAATGTTATGTGCATGGCTATATCCACTTTTGCTGGTTCAGTCTTGGTAATTCCTTGCTAGATTCTAGATGCTTTTAGTATTCCTTGGAAACTATGCTAGGGTCAACGTATAGTATAATGTCTCCCTAGGTTATTTGTTTCTCTTTGATTTGAATATAGGATAGTAGTGATGAAATGGGGTGATGTGATTATGAACTGGTTTGCTTACACAATTACCATTTTCTCATATTCCCCTAGGTTATCTATAATGTCACCATTTGGACTCAGCTTTAGTGCATATATGATTATGAACTAGTTTGCTTACACAATGAACATTTTCTCATATTCCCCCGTCTGAATTGGAAAGCATGCCAGTACAAATAAATTTTACTGCTCATATTTTGTTACCAATGGCAACGACTAGTCCACTTGCATTTATTAACATTTGCTTCAGGTTGTTCCCTTCTCTAGCAGTGACATGACACATGAGTACATTTACACTCTGTTCAGGCAAACATGTTAGAAGGTGGTGGTAAAACTCCCATATTGAGCCCTGCTGAACTTGAGGAAATTGGTTTCAGGCTTGTAGTCTATCCTTTATCCTTAGTTGGGGTATCAATGCGTGCCATGCAGGTTTGTTTTCTTACTTATTATGTGAAGCATGTGGCATTGTTCATTTCTTTGTTTATCTATATTGATCAAAGCTGAGGTAATGAGTGTCAAACTGCTGATAGAGATCATGTGTATATTTATTCGTTTGAACACAAGCTCAAGGTAGTCCTAGTTCTTGTTGATCCTTTTGCTGCCTCCAGTTAGTTATTCCATACTGAACTACATTTCCTTGGTACATCTGAATTCTGATTTCTTGTACTTTTAGCTGACTACACATTCTCTGTACCTGTGTATCCTTTATCGGTGGATTACATTATGGATTGATAAAGGTTATGTATTATGGTATGATTACATAGCATTTTTTTTTTTTAAATGTCCAACCAATCCACTAACTGTAAGTTGTATTTATGTGTGCTGGAGACTCTAGTGCAGTTCTATCCTCCTAAATGAAATATAAGGCATACTTTTAACTGCTCGTGAAATGTAGTTTGCTGACCAGATAAATAATTGGTGTCTTCCAATTTTCCAGATCCCACACAACCTCCCCTTACAGCAATTTCCCCCTTAATCACCTATGACCAAAACACTTAGAGCACAAATCCCCTTCATTGTATTTATGTTCAATGAGAAAGTAAGCATGAGTGGAGAGCCAAGGATAACAGCGATTGGTGTTCCTGCTTGCCCTACTCATAGCCTTCAATCCGTATATCTTGATTGGACGTGCCAACTTGGTATGCGTAGATGTGTCTTGACAATACTTTCACATAGTATAATTTGCTAGATTTGTGAACATATGACAACATAAATAGGTCAGAGTTATGTCTAGTGAGTAGTGAATCATGTTGACATCCTAAGCTATCATTTCTTATTTGTGACGTGGTGGGAGCACCTACCTTGATACTAGCAACTAGCATTCTCATCTACGGTAGGCATGGTGAATCTTTTGTATCACTTGGATAAAGGGGACTTAGTAGATGGCCTGGTCCTTCAGCAAGATGTCCCAGGTCAACACCGATGGAAACTCTCTTCTCGTTCCTACAGCAGCAAGTTGGCCTACCAAACTTTGTTCTTGGGGACTAAGTTTGCCCCATGGAATTTTTTTTTGGAAAAGCTGGGCTCCTCTCAAATGCAAAATTTTCATTTGGTTAGTCATCGATAACCGGTGTTGGACAGTTGACTGTCCTGCCAAACGAGGGATGCCTCATCCGTAGGCCTGCCCCTTACATGACCAGGTTGAAGAAACAATTCAGCATACCCTCATCTCCTGCTTGTTTACATGGCAGGCCTGGAAAAGTTTTTTTTTAGAAGCTTAACCTGTCTGCAGTAGCACCACATATCTCTGCAACCTTCTCTCAGTTGTGGGCTGTGCACCTGTGCTGTTAGAGGTCTCCCTAAGGAGATGCACAAGGGCCTTAACTCTCTAATCATTCTAGTCAACTGGGAGATTTGGAAACATAGGAACACAATTGTATTTGAAGGAGCCAGGCTAAACATTCAGACTCACCGTCTCACAGTGGCTCATGAAAGCAGCTTGTGGTGTTTTGGTGGTGCCTCTCTTCATCATGATTTCCTCATTAGCTCTCTGGTCCCTGACCCTTGAGGGTGGTTAGAGGTGGGCTGGTTGTGGTCGTTTTTGTGTCCCTTAGCTTGGCGTATCTACTTGTAGTCTCGTGTGTGCGGTGTGCTTGGGAGGGGCTTTCATTAGCCTCTCCCTTTTCTGTATGCAGTTTGTACTTATTTCCTTCTTAATGACACACAGCTCTCCTGTGTTGTTTGAGAAAAAAATTATTATTATTTTGTCAGTTCTAAGTTCTAAGGCAATCATTTATGTTATTTTAGTTTTCCCCCTTCCTGAACTCACGATATTGTATCATTCATTTCATCCTTCACCTCGCACATAATCATTCAACAATGTATATTTAATAGACAACTATAATGTGTCCTAGTTTCTGAAGATCCTGTTGGTGCTAACAAACCACAACTACTATTGACTAGCCTTGCCATTTTCAACAGGTGTTTCATTCTGATGATGTCAGAAGCATTACTTATTGTTCATAACACAAGAATCTCTGACATGCAGGATGCTCTAGTTGCGATAAAAGACGGCGGTGTACCTCCACCTAGCATCTTGCCATCTTTTCAGGAGATCAAGGATACATTGGGTTTCGGCCGCTATTATAAAGAAGAGAAACAATACCAAGTGGTGAGTTAGGATGCTTTTGTTCTTATACTCTGTTAGTCCAGACGTGTTTAGATTCTGTCTACTGGGCCTCAGGAAGGACCATGGCTTCGTCCTGCATTTTCCGTACCCCCGCAACCCACACCCCCCCTGCTGCCCACTGTCCTAGCTTACCTGCAAAGCAGCCTCCTCTCTGCTCCCTCCTGCCACCACTGCCATCATGTCCCTTACTCCCCGAAATCAACCTGGCCCACAACTGGTAACCCACCACCCTAGGCAGTGATCCCTCTGTGCTGCCTCACCGTGCTCAACAGTGGAATTCATCACCGCCATCAGGCCAGCCTATCACCGGCTTCTCTTTAGCTTTGCAAACTCTGCCCTCAACGCTGAATCCTAACCACACAGACATTGCAGAGTTTGGATGGGCGAGGATGAGAATGTACCAAAACACAAAATTGGACGGTGGTGAAATCGGGTGCCAGTGTAGGCTAGAAGACTCGTACAAGCATTAGTTTTTCCGTATGTTTAACATGAATTTTCCTAAATCACATGTTTACCTTTGGTAGGACAAGTGAAGGAAGCAGCTGACGTCTGATCTTGTGGATTCAGCCGGATCGTTTCCATGGCTTAATTGCCACCGGACATGATGCAGAACCAATCGTATTTATGTTGAGTTGTAATCGAAGGGTGTGTAGCGCAGTATCCTGAAGAACACATATATACATGGTCTTCTCTGCTTCCGTTGCTGCTCTGCTGTGGTTTCAGTAATCCCGAACTTGTGATTCCAGTCTAATAATAAAACAGGACAGCTTGATGGGGCTTTCGTTATGCCAGAGCACTGTTTACCCTGTCACTGTACTAGGAGCATTTTCTCCGGAAACCTTTAAATTAAAAACCATTGTTATAAATATACCAATGGCCATATCAGGTTGATGGAAACGGACGTGATCTGTATGTACAACGGGCAATTGCTGAAACCATTTCCTTGGCATGCGCTTCCAGTTCTCCACTATTCCCTTTGTAAGATGTTCTTGCTTTTCTAGATACATAGTAGTTATAAAGATATTATGTCTAGGTGGGTAATAAAAATTATGTAAAAATTACAATTTGGAAATTTGGAATGGTGGGAGTACAATCTAACGTTAGAACTTATCTCCTGGCATGGCTTTTTTCTAATACAATCTAACCGGTGGTCACGTTCTGTTTGCAACAATGCTTTGACAATTCACCGTAGTATACGTCAATCGGTTTGGCAGCTGATCTCCTTTCTTTCTATATGGTGAACACTTAAAAGAATGCAGTGTCATTAGATTCGCCAAATCATCTTGAATTCAATCAATCTTATATAAAGAAATATCAATATCTATGATACTAAATAATATTTTTATAGTATACCTAATTGGTGTCTTAAATATTGATACTCTTTTCTAGTAAACCATAGAACTAGAACTGTATCCTTTTTCTGGATAGAGGTACTAATTTATAATCATAAAAAAAATGAGCATTGTTGTACATGTAGTGTATGCTTTAGTTTCAGGGAGAAATACCTCCATAAGGTACCTTTTAGCCGGTTTTTAGGGGAGTAATTGCGTTGAAAAGGCAAGCAATGCAAATAGGCTTGTGGTTCATTGGTAGAGCTGTCCAATGGAATGTTACCGATCAGGATTCAAACCCTAGTGTTGCAACTTTTTATGGATCTTTTCTAGAAATTTCAGGGTACACCCCAATGCGCATGCGTGGTGTGTGTGATTGTGTACATCTACTTGATAAAAAAAAAAGGCAGGCAATGGTAGCATGACTTGTCGTCTTATATAGCCTATTCGCTTGTTGATTTTAGCCAGAGCTTATTAGCCGGCCAACAGTGTTTTTCTCTCACAACAAACCAGCACCAGCCGAGCTTATCAGCCTAGAAACCAACCGGCGAACAGGCTCATAGTTTTTATAGGCTCGAAGACACACATCGATAATTTAGGAACACTTATACTGCTATTCATACTGTTTATAAAATAGTAAAACGCATCTAATATGAAACACTAAAATACATCTTTAACATACATAGTAGCTATATACGCCCGCAGCCCGCTGCACTACATAACGTAATTGAATCCAATAAATTGTTTTGTAGCAGATTATTTAAGAACCTTCAACAGTTTGGGCTTGAATGGCACATAAAAGTCTTCCCATTTCCTTTTGGAATTCACCAGAGGTCCAGCCTGCATTCCCTACAATCAGGGGAACTTTGACATCACAAGGGCCAACTAGAAATCAGGCAATCTACACAATGTTTCCATTTGTTGATTTGGTACTTACAAATATGGCGAAAATGCATTCTAGGACTCCTTATGTTACAAGATGGAATGGACTAGGGAATATGCAGGACATGCAATTGCACTTCATAAGAAGTATTTCATCCTGTTATCTCTTCTCATGGCACGATACACAGCTTGGACCTGAAAAGCAGCAGGCAAAACTTCAACAAAAGGGTAAACTTTATGTATATATAAAATAAAATGAACAGAAAAAAACAAACTCAGAAAAGAGGCATCTTTTTCCTGGGACATTTGAATAAAGGGGGAACTTTATATCACCTGCTCACTAGAAACAACACGAATTGGCCCAATGTTTACAGAAACATATTTTCCTCTTGAAGATAATTTCTGAGATACCCGGCCCTGTGCAAACCATTTCAAGATACATATGATTATATGAATAGCATCAGAGAAACAGATCAACGGAATGATTGTAAAATGAGACTGAAAGAATATAGCATATAGGGGAATGATTTTCTCTATTGCTGCAGGCTGCACATATACAGCCATGAGTGTACATGCAAGGAAAGAATTAAAATCCTATGATGTCCTCTAATCTAGCCTAATCAATACAATGCTACAAATGTAGATTCAGATATGATCTGCTATTAGGTCCAATAATGACCGAGATAGGAGGGTCAGTAATGGCCATGATATTGCCTTTCTAACAGAGACAACTACAATCTAAAATTGGAATATGTCTCCTGGCATAGCTTTTTCTTTCATCTTCACATAGGAAAGTTTCACGGAAGTATTAGTCTACTGCCATCTAAGAAGCATAAAAAACAAATAATTAAAGTGAAAATGATTAGTGTACAATCAGAGTAAGAATATTGAACTTATTAGTGTGGAAACCATTTCACGGAAGTATTGGCTCTACGCAAAGCACTAGCAGTCTAACTACATCTTCCTGTCGATAACTACAAGGTTTACAAACAAATTCTAAGAACTGTAAAAACTAACCTTGGGAATTGATTCTTGAAGAACAGATTCAACAGAAACTACCATTGACTGGACAAAATCATCACCTCCAGTGCCAATTGCTGTAAATCCTCTATCTGTGGGGTAGGAATTTACCTGTCAAGCAAAACAGCATAGCTTTAAGCAATGCCTAAAACAAAATATAGACTTTACAATTTTAGGGTTCATTCTAACTTTTAATTCAAAAAGGATACAGCAGAGATGCACTTTGTTGCACACAAACTGATTAAAGTTTATCACGCAGCAGTACTAATCATGATAAAAGCATGCCAAAAATGAAAGAGCATGAGATGTTCTCAATCACTATTGTGTTCCCCGTAAAAGGTTGAAGACCATTGATGGTGACATGGTGTAAAATATCGTATTCAGAACATACAAAGAATACCACAAATGAGTGTCACAAAGTTAAAAGTGATGTGACCTATAGCTTCCCACGACCTACCATTTCCCGAAAACAGAACACATGATAAATCATACCTTAATGTTACCAAGCTACTGCTTCCAGAAGGAATATTGGTAAAACAAGAGCTTTTCAAATATATAAAGGGTTCTCATCGCATTTCTCAAAATTTAGGAGTCAGCTATTTCGTAGAGTGCCCATTGTAAGTCTATCTTTATGTAAGTTGTAACACAGATGGACAAAGCTGGACAATGAGATACACCTTCTGATCCAGAACAAGCCATTCATCACTTGCATCGTCCGTCACAGTACCACCCATGACCATATTTGTTGTGAGTGCAACCCTTCCTTTAGACCTTGCTATCTCTGGTTTCAAAAAAAAAAAAAAACAGTATGAATTGAGCATGGAATAAACCCTAGCAGAAGTTTTGGCTCAGTGAAAACATGAATCCTTGCATACATGAACACAAATTTCACGAATTTGGCAAAGTAGGCACTAACAAAACATAGTCCTGCAAAGCAGATATGTAACTTTACATCCTTAGGTGCTGTTTGTTTTATATTCTGATTGTGGGTTGTAGCTTTTACTATCTCAAGTTGAAACAAACAAGCAGCTCACCTGGATTGTAACAATCCACAGGGCAGATTGTTACAATCCAACAATCTGTTCCACAAGCTTGTAGATTGTTACAATTTGCAAGTTGCTTTTCACAATTTACATGCTGAAACATGCAGGGCCTTGCATTGATCAATACTCCAATTCATCTATGCTATTGCCTATTGAGCAGTTCTATGCTGAGGCTTATCCTGATTACCCTATTAGTCTATTACAGAATAATATATGCAAAGTAAACAAACCATGCGAAACTAAAGTACTGTAGCCGAAACTGCCTTTTGGCTAAATCACACCAAGCCACGGAAGCATCGCATTGTACGCTAATTCCATAAAAAAACAAACGGTTAATATTACCTAGCCGAAGGTAACCCCGAATCCAACCATCGCAATAATCCAGTGATTCGGTATCCCGATGTCTAAAACTATTATATCATTCATTACCAAACCTCCGAGCAAGAATCCGACCGAAGCGACTAGCTGAAGCGGCGAACAAGCAAGATGGAATAACTCGTACTAATAAGCAGTGGGGGAGTGGGGGATGACGACTCACTGGATATGGCCTCCAGCACAGCTTCTTGCGGCGGCTGCCCGGGGTCCCCGCCGCCTCCGGAGCAGCAGCGGAGGTGCGGACGGCGTCCGCCGCGGAGCGCCCTCCCAACAGGCGGCGCCGCGGCCGGGAGGCGGTGGAGCGGTTCGGGGAGGAGCAGGGCGGCGGAGGGCCAGTGCGCGGCACGCCATCGCCGCCGCGTCCGTCGTCTTCTTCCGGTCGCCGCGGCCACGAGAGATTTCGTGAGATTTTTCTCGGTTCGCGTCCGTCTGCTGGACTGGACTTGGTTTTCGTGGACGAGCCGTTAATTTCCCTGTTCTTTTTCCTATTCTTTCCGCGGTGTTTAGGCGTCTTTTTTCTCCTCCTCCATGGCTTTAGTGGGCTAGGGGGCCCTAGAGAAAGCCCAGTCAGCCCATAATGGCTTCTGGCCTGGCATCTTGAATTGAATTGATATGGCCTTCTTGAGTTCTCGTATCTCTGTTTCGATCAAATCAAATCAAATCTTTAAATAAACCTTTGAATCGAAAAAAGAATCTATCTATAACTACTTCATTGTTCGATGCTAGACAGCTCAAGACTTCTTTCCTTCTGAGACTTTGGTGGCATGAACGAAACAAGATCATAGAAGCTGATAGGCGAAGGAAGGAACCAGTCTGAAATTGCACATATAACATGTAGGTAAGCTGCAGAAATAGAAGACTTGTACAGAAGTGGCAGCGTCCTGAACCAAGCTTGTAATGTTTCTCAACTTCCTTTTAATGAAATATGTACGGTCACGGAAAAAAAAACAAGGCTAACACTACCCTAGATCTGGACATCACTGTTGGTTCAAAACCCTCCTTCACTGCCGGATTTTAAACCGACTGTGACATACCAACAGTGATGGGAAGGTAACATCACTGCCGGTTCTTAAAAACCGACACTGATCTACAAGCAACAGTGTTTCTAACTCTACCCGGTAGTGTCCAGTTGAACAACACTATCGGTTTGTAGTCCTAATCGACAGTGATGGTTACTTCAAGAGTGTCAGTTATTGGCTCAAGCCAGCAGTGTTGAGTAAGCCTACACTGTCGGTTCATGGCTCAAACCGACAGTGCTATCGTAACTATCACTGTCAGTTCATGGTTCAAGCCGACAGTGTTGAGCAAGCCAACACTGTCGGTTTGTTTTCAACCGGCAGTGATGGTTACGACAACACTGCCGGTTTGTTGCTAACCGACAGTGATGGTTACAACAACACTGTCGGTTTGTTGCTAACCGGCAGTGATGGCCCGTTCGTATTTTATTGTTTTATAATTTATTTTAATTTATATTTTTTTGTGGAATCGGGTTTCACTTTATATACGCTATGTAGATGACAGGTCCATCAATATTAAACATTTCAAATATTACGGTTACAGTTCAAATGTTCTTATCATGATCTCGATCCCTCAAAATAAAAAAGAAATTATTCAATAAGATGAAGCATGCTTCTCGAACTTCTTACAATAATCTAGCGAACCGCTCTAGGTCATACTGGTCCTTGAACTTCATGGATTGTGCAATGGAAAATACTCTATCCTTTTTCAATACCTCGGCTAAGATAAATTTTGCCAGCTCCGATTGCAGTGCAACGATCTCCATGTCTAACAGTCTTTCGTGGTTATATTTCTTGCACTGTCGTTCAGAAAAGATGATATCCAAAGAGAAATCAGTAAATTATTTTGTTGAATTATTAACAGACATAAATGAAATGGGGATTATACATATCAACTTATCTGCTTCTTCCGATTTCCCGCCGATGAGCGAAGCATTGCCCACATTACATAAAACCCGCATTCATTGCTTCCCGCCGGCTGTTTTAGGTACTTCCTCTCCATTTCGACAACCTTGAATGGGACCTGTGTCCCATCGATATGTCTTCTTCGGACACTATGCAACATTAAAAGGAGAAATATTAGAAAGCGGTATGTGTGACTAGAAAATAATATGTTATTAGGATCGCTTACTAATTCAGCACTGCCATCGGTGCATCCAGATGATGAAATGGTTTTTTCTTCGAGTCCCACACCTCGATCAGATTTTTAGCAAGATTGACACAAATGAAGACGAAATGGGTGCTGCAATCACAAAATCATAATTATCAAATAATCTTAACGAAAAAAGAAGCATAAAATTTAAAGCCGAGAACACATACTCGCAGTTGTAGGCTAGAAGTATATGGGTTTTGTTCTTCATCTTGAATTCATCGAAAACAGCAGTCAATCTCTCTTTCAAGTCTTCCACGTCACATCCATGGAGGCCTAAACATGTCTTCTCATTGACTCGCAAGGGGTCCAAGAGGCCTATGTTATCCCATTTACTTTTTAGTATGCAAAATTTTGCTATACACCTACATAAAATTATGGAAATTGGTCAAAAGTTAACACTTTGTGTCTCGAGAGAGTAGTTAATTATAATATCATACGTGTAGGGTACTTACATAGTCCATAGCGTCAACATTTGTGAATCGAGAGAGCGTTTCTGGTATAGCTGGAACAAGCACTCCCACTCGACATCGAACTTCTCTTCTTCAGGATAATGAAAAACATGTGGTGAACGGAAAACCTCAAAACCAAAGTCCTCCATCTCTGTTGCTTGAGCCATATAATATTCATGCAACTGGCGCATATATGTTGTCAAATTTTTATATTCGTCATCGGGAACCAAAAGATTGCCCCTTTCATACTTCATTGACAGTGTTCCCGTCCCTTGTACATCATAATAGATGTTCACGGCCTCTTCCATGGTTAATTCGGGGTTGTCTTCGACGTACTTCTGTATCTTCCTTAAATCTTCATTGTGTATTTCATCAGCTCTTATTGTAGCGTACTGATTCTGTGTTTGCCTTTTGAATTCAGACTTCAACAAACACGGAGGCAGTGAGGCACAGAGATTGAAGAAACTAACACAATCTTCCTTCAAGATGTGTGCTGTAAATTTTTCTTCCATCAAGTTTGTAACGCTGCCACTGAATGGCCTTTTGCTTTTTTGTTGGTCCACTTTGGGAGCATTAGCGACCGAATCCAAGGACCTTTTCTACGACTGTGAGGATGCCTTTGATCTTGTTTTGGGCTGAGGTGGAGGAGGAGGAGGATGACAATGAGAATTCTATTTTCCAGGGGCTGATGAAGATGGAGGAGGAGGAGGAGGAGTCTTCTCTTTTCTTGGGGCTGATGAAGATGGAGTGAGACGAGGAGGAATAGAAGGAGACCTCTGTCTTCTCAAGGGTGATGGCAAGGGATGAGGAGGGGAGTGATCTCTGTTGAGAGATGGTGAGTGATCATCGCGGGTGGGCAAAGAGTCGTAGTCGTTCTCATCATTAGAGGACAATTGGTGGTCAAGCTTAATGAAGCGCTTGCGCCAGGCCACTTAAGAGCCCTTGTTATGACTAAGTTTCGGCCTGTCTTCCGCTACGGGGTACTCAATGTGTATCTTATTATACTTCTTATCAAGTATTCTGTCAATGGTGACGTGAGCGTACCCCTATGAAATTGAGTGGCCATTAATGGTGCCGTCTCCCGCAGGCCAGGCCTGGCCGAGCGCCACCTTGTCCTTTGTCCATTCTTGACGGATGTCCAACTTGACATTGATGGGTTCAATGATACCGTCCACCGGATGAGGCACATTCGCATCTTCCTCGTCGAGCGGGGTCGGTCCGTAGCTACTGCGACTCCTAAACTGTGGGCTAAAGGCAGTTGGAGTAAGGTTTTGTGGTACTCCTGACCCCTTGGACAGCAAAATCTATTGGACTCATGCTTCAACAGTCGCCTCAATCCATGCATCCATTCTGTCTTCCATCTCTTTTAGTCACCTCAAACACTCTGCCTCCTAATCCGCTCTACCCCTCGAGCAGCTTCGGTAAGTGTGAGATTCTTCGGGGAATGCTAGTTTCTAAGGAGCAACATCGGTTCCTCTAGTGCGACCAGGGTGCTCCTTGGTTCTGAGTGCTTGGGTGAGCACGTCTTTCTCCCTATTAGAAGTGCGAGTCCTTTGCCGCACCTCCTCGCCATTACAGGAGATCCTCTGGATGAGTTCGCTCATGGGTGGTTTGTGGAGCTAAAGCTCCCGTCCTCGGCATGGCGTACATTCCTCCCCATATAGTATAATACCGATCTTGGCTCCCAATGGGCGGTCTCAACTGAATGCCTTCCTCAAAAGGGCGATCCATCTTTTCAAGTTCGCTTTAAATTTCGCATCTTTTGGGCGTAGCCACGAGAGCCGAGATGATGAGGATTCGCCGCTTCATGAGTTCTCCATATTGTTCCCTTTCAGTTCTAAGTACTCCTCGATAACTCAGATTCCTTAAAATCCTACCAGAAGTCCTTCTGCTTGCTAAATTGTCCACCATCGAAATCTAGCTCTATATTTTGGAGGACAAAATTCTTGTACAATGTCCCCTTAAAATTCTTGAAGCGTGTCCCCATGATTTCTTTTCTTTTTTCTTGGCTACCTCTTTGTCATACTCCGTTGGGAAAGTAAAATACTCTGGGATCTTGATATCCCATATGTAATCCTTCTCACTTTTCGGGAACCCTCCATGGGTCATTATCTTTCCCATTCCACTTCATTACCTAATCGGGATGAAGTCCCTTACAAGTAACCCGAGGAAAGTCTTGTATTTGGTCAAAGCTATAGGCGATGAGAGTGGATCCCCGAATTCATCGAACTCAGTGATGT